ATGAGAAAAGGTCCAAAAGGATGTAGGTCCTAGAAATGAGGTTCCAAGAAAATATTAACATACAATGAAGCACACACAGCTTTCTCTTCTGTAAGATAGCATTTATCTTAAACCCGTCAGTCAGTTGTAGCAGCTATTGTAACTAAGGATCAGTTCTAGTCTCTGAAGTTGCCCTGCAGGTACAGCAGGTTGTTTGCCTTGCAAAATCAGTGGGTGTGGGCAATCGAAACATAACTGCATTATTTGAAAGGTTTCACACTCAAGTTCTTACTGTAGCTAATATACACACATTAAATCCCAATGTGTTTCTTTCGTACATTCATCTGATGTGATGCAGTCCAGAAGCAATATATGGCTGCCACCTTCTGTAGCAATGCGTTTCAAACCTGTCACTCTACAGTACACTGCATAGAGCTCTAGCCTGGTACTCAGCCAAGATGTCATTACTTTTTCGCGTGTTTAAACCTTCTCAGATAATTTCTACCCTCAGAACAGTCTTATTTAGTCATATAAAGTAACGTTAACATACCTGCTAAAGAACTGAAGGCACGTCCGCGCTGTTGTGAATCTGTTAACGTTACTCAAGTATAAAGTCAGCGCTAGAGGAGGCGAACGCGGATCATCTGGCTCGCGCTTCCTCTTCTGCACTGTTGGACCCGCCCATTTAAATTACGCACGGACGTCCACACCCGCAGAGATGTTATTAATAGTCTTAAAATAACAATTAGAATGTTCACACCCTTATATTTGTTTTTAATCTGGTTTTGAAATATGTTAAGGAAGTAAAAAAAAGTACACCATATGTTTATTCAATAGTTTATGGGTCTAGACCAGGGATCCTCAAATCTGGCCCACGAGATCCACTTTCCTGCAGAGTTTAGCTCTAACCCTAATCAAACACACCTGAGCATACTAATCAGTGTCTTCAGGATCATTAGAAAATCACAGGTAGGTGAGTTTGATCAGGGTTGGAGCTCCATAAAGGTAGGCTACCCAAATTTGATTAGCCAAGAAGCCTTCCAAAAGTGTTGATAAATGTTTATATCACTCGGATTGTTTTTGTTCGTGGCGATTTATGTGACCAGAAGTGTTCTGGGAGGACTTTCCATTTTTGGGGTTTGTGGGATTTTAACATCATTGCGTGGCGTTCTCTCGCTCGCGTCGCTCGAAGTGGGTTTCTCTCTGTCAGGGTTGCCAGGTTTTCACATCAAAACCCGCCCAATTGCTACTCAAAACTAGCCCGGTAAAAATTGCGTTTTTTGGCGGGGTTCCCCTGGTCAAATTTGCATTTTAGGGGCTAAATATCACTTTATTGGGGTCGCTTCAACCCATGGACATGGAAAAACAACCCTCGGCAAAAGTGTTAAAGTAGCCCAATTCCGCGGGAAAACCGCGGACTTGGCAACACTGCTCTCTGTACTTGTCAGTGGAAAATGGAAAACCCGTAATGGATCTGGAGCCGAGTGATGGCGAAACGAGTTGAGCTGGAATTCTGTCAATCTGCTCCATACATTTATGACGCTACAGAACGGCTTTTAAAAGGTTAAGGCTAGGATACAGCTAAAACTACTGGGCATGCGCACATCAATATAGCGTATTTTTTGTCACACTGTACAACGATAATTACTGTTTTTGCATTATTGTAAGGGAGGATTGGGGTAGGTGTATACGTTAATAAAACACAAACTAATAGGTAGAACATTTTATTTATTGCTAGCTTCCGGTTTTAGCTGTATCCCTTCTAGCCACAACCCTTTTAGAAGAACCAATACAAACTAGTCATTTTTTGTCTGAAAAATACGTTCAATCATACATAATAAATATGTTACAACTTTAAAAGAATCACCACAGCTAAACACTCCATAAATGTTTTCAATTTTAGGCATAGGTTAAGGGGTTTGGTTAGGGTTAACTTGGTAGTGACTAATTATCTTGATGTGGGCCTAAAAACATTCTCAAGAGCGAAGTAATGCGCGCGCTTGTGTAGTGTATGCGTGCGATCATGTCGCGCGCGTCTCGTCTCCTCTGTTGCCGCATCTGAATCATTCACTATTAGTTTATCATCAAACTATTCCTCAATTACATTTGTCAGTCCAAATACCGAACACAACGTGAAATCAATGCTTTTAAGACTACAGAATCAGCCTGCGACAGACCGACTGCAGAAGCAGCGGAAACCGCCGGCTGTCGCAAAGCCCTGTGAGCTGCCTTGCCCACCCTGCGTTCACACATACACGCCCTGATAACAAATAAGAATTGCTCCGTAGATAATTAGGTTTTAAACTTTTTTAAATCCAAATATTTGTGTTCCCATCAATAAACAAATCAGTTAATTTACTTAACAGAAATTAGAGGTTCACCTCTGCACTCCTTTTAGGATTTTCTGATAATGCTTTTTTACATTATGGGTATCCGTTCACACGGTTTCGACGTTGTCTCTTTATCTCAACTAATCTAGTTTTTTTTTTTTTCTTTTTAAAGCACCGCTTGCATCAGCATCACAGGCTTCTTATCCAGGCATGAGTCACTGACCTAAGGCCCCTTCATGCATGAAAAGCCAAACATTCCTTCAATGACAGTACATCGCCTCTTTTAATCACACGTGAAGTATTTTAACTTTTTTCTCATCTTTAGCGTTTTAGCATAACTTCAAGGTTTCCGAGACATCTAATGGACAGAAGAGACCTCTTATAGGCTACATAGCAGGGATATTTTAAACGTATCTTGCCACACACTATCAGAGGAAAAAGAGAGAGCGAGAGAGAAAGCTACCACTGGGACGATATAAAGTGTAGGCCTACCTTTAAGGTACTAATATGCATTACAGACTATGGACAGATCTAAATGGGAGAGACTATCTATAGTAACAATTAAAAGCAGAGTAAAAAATAAAAAAATAATCTAAATAAAAAAACAGGCTTCAAATGATCCCATTTTACTCAATGCGTTAGATTTTACTACAACAAATTTTGAATTTTAAAACAATTCTGTATTTATTTTGAGTATGGTCATTCTTTAGAGGTCTTTTTTCTTTCTTTTTTAGTAGCCTAAATGTGTGGCTTCAAGGATGATAATGGTTAATGTGTGTATGTGTGTGTGTGTGTGGCGTAAAGATGATCTATACACCAAACCGGATGCAACTTTCTGTTTGTCAGGGCTGTTCTTACAATCCTCACATTGAAACCCAATATTCTGGAAAAGCAGGAAAGGGGCTTTACAATTGAATATATATTCAACGTTTTTACGTTATTCAAACACAACGTTGTTCTCTAAATTGGTAGAATTAATTCATTACTTTATTCAATCTTAAGGTTCTAAAAAAAACTTTGTTTTCAACAATTTTGCCATTATTTTGTGCTAGCAATTTGTGATGGATGCAGACGCCAAAACTGATGTCTTCTAAGTGGCAATGCTGCCATCGTGTGGCCAAAATCCTCATCCACTTAAACAATTATAGAAGACATGTAATATACATTTACCCTAATATATTTGATAAAAAAAAAAAAAAAACATGGTTTCAGATTTATTTTTCAAAAATGTCTATATTTAAAACTGACACTTTTGAAAAGCAGACTTCTTAAAAAATAGTAAAATAAAGCCTTTGTAAAATCTGGCTTACACTCTTCAGAAGAATGGTTCTAAACGGTGCCAAATTAGAGTTCTTTGGCTTGAAAGAAAAGCTTTTTGGTGCTAAATTGATTTTTTTTTTTTTACAAGATTCCATTAAAAACCATTCTTTGAAAGTGCTATATAGGACCTTATGCTGTTATAAATGACCTTTTAAATAATAGTTTATTGTCATTAATATTAGTATATTTATTATGAATATTTATAGTACTATTATTAATATTATTGTTATATATTTAATATTTTTACCACTATATCTGCTAGGTCTTACATGTATGTCACTAGGTTTTACATAAAAAGTGTCATTTAGGTACTTTTATTTTTTTTGTTGACATGTGAAATTGTAGCAAAAATGACAATGCTCTAACAACTATTATCTGAATACATCATAAATGACACTTCACATTAAACATGATGGATGTTGTTGGGTATGAAAGCATCTAAAATACACAAATTAGTTTAGAGTTACAGTGTGCCTCTTCTATTTGTTTATATAAAAACAGTTATGAAGGCCAAAAGTACTAAAATGGTCAATGTAATATAAAGTCAGGGAATAGCTTTAATGTTGTTCAATCACCAAAAAAACAATAACAACATGTTTACGAATAAAACCAAGTAACGGTTTAAAAACAACAACAATAATAATAATAATAATATCTGTTACTTAGTGGAGAGGAGGAAAGAAGTATCCTAGAACAGAGCAGGTCACACTTACATGTTCTGTTAAATTATCAAGAACACAAGGCTGATATGGTTCTAAATAAAACGGTTACCACGTGTAAAGAACCATGTTTTTGGAGTGATAAAACAGATAAAGGTTTAAAATCCAGCAAATTTACGTAAAAAAACAAAACAAAAATATGGCCAAACAAACAGCAGCCGTCAAACAGCTTTCAGCACCCTGGACAGCAGCAGCTCTATTTATTCAGGCGAAGCACGAGAATGTATTATTTCAGTTCCATTTTCTTTTGTACAAGATGGTGTGGTCACACCGCCAGGTGGCATAAAACGAACAAAAATGCCCTTCACCTTGTAAATAAATTCAGTCGCTCTAAGAGCGTTATTTGTCTCTTATTTGTTAGAAATGCCCTAAACGCTAAGAAAAGTTGCAAGCACACAAACGCATCGCAAATAAAGAAACCTTTTAAACAAATCCGCATTTAACAGTAAAATTAGTCCGGGCATCCAGTGCGCATGCGTGGAGTAGATCGCGTACCCCCTGCGCGCAACTCTGGGCGCATCATTGACCGGTTACTCGCGTGCATTTCTCATACTGTGCATTGAACACCTGTAAAATGTGCATGGAAACAACAGCTGGCTGGAAATCACGAGGTGCCATTAAGTCCATGCAAACCCTCTAAAATCTCATCACAATGACTAATTGGACAAACGTGTCCAGCTGCCCGTTCAGCATCACTTTATGCGCTGAGGACATTATGGATAGTAATGCAACTGCTGAGGACTTTGAGTACCCCGTCCATCTCTTCCCAGTCCCTATCCTGACTGGCATCACAGTGACGTGCTCTTTCCTGTTCCTCGTCGGAACTGCTGGGAACCTGTTGACCATCCTGGTGGTCACCAAATACAAAGACATGCGAACCACCACCAACCTTTACCTCTGCAGCATGGCACTTTCAGACCTGCTCATTTTCCTCTGCATGCCCCTCGACCTGTACCGGGTCTGGCGGTACCGACCGTGGAACTTTGGCGACGAGCTCTGCAAACTCTTTCAGTTCGTGAGCGAAAGCTGCACGTACTCCACCATCCTCAACATCACCGCGCTCAGCGTAGAGAGATACTTCGCTATCTGTTTTCCCTTCAGGGCAAAAGTCATCGTCACGCGGGGTCGGGTAAAAGGGGTGATTTTCCTCCTCTGGACTGTGGCTCTGTGCAGCGCCGGACCCATATTCATTCTGGTTGGGGTCGAGCACGAGAACGGCACCAACCCCTGGGAGACCAATGAGTGTAAAGCCACGGAATATGCCATCCGCTCCGGACTGCTTACTATGATGGTGTGGGTCTCCAGCGTGTTCTTCTTCCTCCCGGTCCTCTGTTTGACAGTGTTATACAGCCTCATAGGCAGAAGACTGTGGAGAAGAAAGGAGAATCCTGTCGGACCCATTTCTAGTCGGGAAAAGAACAATAAACAAACGGTCAAAATGCTGGGTGAGCTCAACGATGCCCTGAAAAGTCTGACAAATAATATTTGTATATTTCAGAATCATTTAATAGATTAACTTTACAGCGGGTAGCCTGTACGGAAAATCGTACAATTGTTTAATAAACATTTGTATAGCCTATTATTGAATAATTTAATTAGTAAAATATAATTTAATTATTCAATTAACATTTCTATACATTTAACAGGACACACCTGCTAATTCAATTCCATGTGCAACAGAAAGTGAGGTTTTTATATATAATAATAATAATAATAAATTATTGTTAGAAATTTACATACATTTTTTTAGCCTACATTAAAATTTACATTTACTATGGACACTAATCAAAACGAACATTTCGTTCAATTAGCCGTTGGCTGTTTACAGTTGCTAAGGAACGCAGCAACTTGAACGTTTCAAACTCGGATCATCCGGTCAGAAATAGCAGGGACTATCTGTCTTCATCAATATTTTGATGGTATAAAATTCAAATAAAAAATGTAATTCCCGAACGATTGAATCTTATGAGTCGGTTGTAGTTAACGTAAGTGAATCAGAAACACTTCAGTCACATCGGTTACTAATTCACTTCATTGTCATAATGTCCGACTCGAAATAATTGTTACTAAGTTACCATTTATTTTTCAAAACGCACTTTTTTGCAAGAATGTCGTATTAAATGTACTTCTAAATTATATAATACAAACTTTAATCCTTTTTAAAACATTGCAGAAATGAACTCTCTTTCTCTCTCTTTATCAGCTGTGGTGGTTCTAGCGTTTGTTCTCTGCTGGCTGCCGTTCCACGTGGGTCGTTATCTTTTCTCCAAGTCATCCGAGGCCAATTCTCCTCTCATCTCCCAAATCAGCGAATACTGCAACCTGGTCTCATTCGTGCTGTTTTACCTCAGCGCCGCGATCAACCCCATCCTCTACAACCTCATGTCAAAGAAGTACAGGAGCGCGGCGTGCAAACTGTTCGGAGTGAAGCGTGCTCCTGGACGATCGGTGCAGAGCTTCGTGAACGCTGAGAGTTTTTCGGTGTGGAACGAGTACAGCTGGAGCACGTGACCGAGGAGACGCCTCGATTAATAAATGTGCACTTTTTAACAGACTAAAAAAAATCTTCACGAGAATGAAAAGGACAGTCAACATTAACCTCATCATATTTAATTTCAAACATATCATAAAGGCCATTGCATATTTTCAGTTTAGCCTGTATATAGCAGTAAAATAACTTTATCAATCTGCTGAGCCCTGAAAATTACATTATTAAATTATAGGCCTATAGTAATCTAATGCAGACTTTTTGGTATTAAAATAGGTATTAAAACTTTTTGGTATTAAATAATAAAAAATACATCATTTGTGCCTAAAACTTGCATTTTAGGCACAACATGCCTAGTGCATACAACAAATATTATTGTATTTTATGAAAATGTTTATGCACAGGTATTGCCATCAGCAGCAGACACCAGCAGTGTAATGATTCCCTTTACCCTGGTATTCATGCAAACTGTACATATGCACACTAACCCAAAAATGCCTTAAACTGTGTGAAGTACTGGATGACAGAGCACTGTAGATCTAAGCACTCTAACATTGTACCCTATATGGGAGAGATACAATGGTGCTGAATGATAAAATCCCATGCCATAAAAAGCTCTCACCAAGCTTGTGTTATCAGATTATGTTACATAAATGTGTAGCAGCCATAAAAAGTGCACTTATTGCAGGTTTGTGAACACTGCTGCCACAGTAGTTTTGTGTAAGCTTTGTGTTTGAATTCAGCCTGTGTTGCTTGTTGCCAGTCTAATTAAAATGTAAAACTACTTCTTGAGATGCTTGTAAAACACAGTGTATTTGAGTGAAGACATGATTTGATATTTATGAAATATATTGTCTATTTGCCTTTAACGCACACTGTGATACATTTTCTGGAACGTGTTATTGTGTAATATATATATAAGTTTTTGATGTCATGCAGTATTACTACTTGACTTTAAAATTAAAATGTTTTTGTGTTATTGACTATACAACTTGTCTTGTATATGTTTCTGAAAATACTTTTTTTTTTTTTTTAAATAAACGTAGAGAAACTTTTACAAAAAGGACAATCACATAATATACTTCTTAGAACAGGAATATATGTAATTATGTAAATGAAATGCAAACACCTTGTTTCAGAAATTTAAAAAAATGTATTGTGTATAAATATATTACATATACTACAGATACATAATCATCTTAAATACAAAGGGTAGTATTTTCAATATCTATACATTTAAATTGATATGGTAGTTTTTTAAATATAATGTCTATGATTATAATTTACATCAATAAATGTGACAGTTACGTTTAAAAAAAAATGGTAATATGGAATCATTTTCATGAAACGATATGCAAGCATGGAAATCTATGTCTAGGCCACTTATTACCTGATATCCAGCTAAATGAAACTAAAAAATTCAAAACAAACAAAAAAGTATTTCTGTTTTCCACTTAAAAAGATTCTGGGTCTGGAGTTCTTAAGTGTTCTTCAAGTGTTTCCACTTCAAGTTTTCTAGTGTCAAGTAATTTCAACTTCTTTTAATCAGAGAACAATGGAATGTTTGTCTAAAAACTTCAGCAATACATATATAGTCTACTACATGAAGAGTAGATGATTAAAATACATATAAAAAATATTTAAAAAAATCAAATAAAAAACTTAAACTTGCTGTTTGTGCAGGTGGGAAATCACAAAATTGATCAGATATCAACATTTTCTGAACTAAAGCAATTTAAAAAAAATCAGAATTAAAATAAAAAAGCAATTAAAAACAGAATATAAACAATACAATTATGTCTGAAATAAGACAGGTTAATGATGTTAAAATGCTGTTCTATATTTGGAAAAAATAAAGATTTGTCATAACCCCCTTATAAAAAGACATGCTACATGAAGAAAACATTGAATATGACAGTTCTGATTCTTGTAATAAATAAATGTAGATTGCACTGTGATTTGCATTATAAAGTACAAGAATATAGCATAAATAAATCTAACAAAACTGTTATATCTTGAATGCTCACTAACTTTGGTTAAGGGCTTATTGAGCTAGTAAACACGATCATGTACTGTATAATGTGACCAGGGTAAAGTGTTAATGGAATACTGTAAGCAGCAGATCTGAAATGATTTGTCACGAAAGTTTGGATCTGTGGATTTCAAGGCACAGGTTCACAAGGCCCTCCCAAGTCCCTGAGGTACAAACACTCCAGACTTCACAACACTGTACATTGATGATTGATTGCAAAAACTGTCATTTGACTCTCTTTGGACTGACAGTTGCAGGTGTTTTTTGACTTTTTCTTGTTTTGTTGTTTTGTACAGGCGGCCCAAGGACACCTTTTTTAAGACAAATGAAAGAGGAGAGAACGAATAAGAAGCTTTTAAGAAGCTTTTAGACAGACTTTCTTGGGGCACAGATATGGGAACGAGAGCGCTGATGCCGTTTAGCTGTCTAGACACTGATTTAAAGATAAATAGGACTGACCATTAAAAAAAAAAAACACCTCAGATATTCATCTGAGAGTCCAACTTGAGATCCGGAAGGCCACTTATTACTTTAGTGTTAAAATCTCCTAAATACTAAATATAAAAATATGCACAGCATCTTCAACTTAAAAAACAGGCACAGACGCCCAAACAGTACATATCATCATTACTGATTTGTTAAAGCTGTAACTCATCTTATAGAAAAATACATGAAATTTTAAGTGTAAAAGGTGTAATTTGGTCAATGACCAAACAGTACTTGCATTAATGGTTTTGCGAGTTGTAGTTTAAAAACTGAAGAGACAGACGAGAATGGCTCTAAATCAGAAGCTGAAGCAGGAAGGCCATTAGGACAGAGAGAGAGGCCACCCCAAATACCATGAGGCCGGCAAATTGTTCATCGGTGAGGGTGTTGCCCATGGGCACCCTGGTGACGTCCGCTTCCACAGCCAGTGTGGCGTCAGACCGCCGCAGGTTGAAGTGGGCGGATGGGCCGAAGGACCCGCACAGCTCCTGGAGGGTGTCTGCGCAGCGCCTGCATGCAAACACTCGCACGCGGTAGTCTGTGTTCCACTGCAGCCCGGAGAGCTGGAAGGACGTCTCGTCTCCCTTATGCACCTGAAAGACAGAAAGTAATGCATTAGCCCAGACAGTTAAAGTTTCTCCTTCACTGTGCGTACTTTGACAATTATAAACGTATTGTTAATAATAATAATAACAACAATGATAATTATTATTATTATTTATAATAATATAATAAATTATATAATAATTGATATATTATGAAAATATAAAACAATGATAATAATAATAATAATAAGTGCTGTCAAACGATTAATCGCATCCAAAATAAATGTTTTTGTTTACGTAATATATGTGTGTGTACTGTGTATATTTATTATGTATATATAAATACAAACACATGCATGTATATATTTAAGAAAAATATTTTATGTTTATATATAAAATATATTTATATATAATACAAAATATAAGAATATAAATATATAAATGTATATACATGTAAATATTTAAAATATATATACTGTATGTGTGTGTATTTATATATACATAATAAATATACACAGTACACATACATATATTACGTAAACAAAAACATTTATTTTGGATGCGATTAATCGTTTGACAGCACTAATAATAATAATAATAATAATAATAATAAATGATACTATACACGGGGACTGGGATGGAATAAAAAATGTATATACAGAATATTATATAAATATAAAATGTAACCTACATATAAATAATTTTTACAAAAATATATACATAAAAAATTAATTAACTAGTAATAGTAGTAGACGTAGTAGCAGTATATTGTATTATTTATTATATGTATGAATTTGGGTTTATTTGTAATACATTTTTTATATACAGTCAAACCAAAAATTATTCAGAAACCAGATATAATTTTTGATATTTTTTTACTAGTGGGTGCAGGACACTATAATTAATTTATGTAAGTGAGGATACTAAAATAAAGTGAACTGTGACATATTATACCCAAAAAGTTTTCATACAGTGGACTAACAGTAGAACTGAAAAAGATTTGGGACCAAAAATTATTCAGACACTTTGACCTGACCATGTTTTGCTTAAGTGTTTTTTCTTTAATTGCTAATGCCACCTTTTTACACCACAGACTGAACAAAATGAAGCATTGCTTGGTCATTGGTGGACCTAAATTGGTATTATCTAATTGTGTACTTAAATTTAACAGCTGACAGCTACTCAACCTAATTCATTACATACCTTTCTATTAAAGTTATCTGACATTATCAAGCTGAATTTGTTCTGACACAGTTTAACTCTGAGTTCTTGTCATATTTTATTACCATTTTCTAAACTATAGCTAATAAACTGTGATAATGTGAGAAATGTTGAAGGTGTCTGAATACATTTTGGTTTGGCTGTATTATATTTGTACATTTATTATATATTAGCATTTTATATAACAACAACAACAATGATAATAATAACTACATTTATATTTTGTATACATACATTTTTTATATTTCATCCCAGTCACTATGTATATTAATATTATAACAATAGCATGACTGAGATGGAATATAAAAAATTATTTATACAAAAAAATATAAATATATATGTGTTTATTGTTATTATTAATGTATAAAAATTATGTATTACAAAATAAATGCAAATGTGCAGATGTAAATAATTAAATCCATTCTAAATAAACAAATAAAAGTATTAATTACAAAAAAAGAAGGAAGGAATAAGAAAGGAGCAAAATTATATTCTATCCCTAATAATGAAAAAAAAAAAATGTCAACAATAAATATACTGATTTATGTAGCTACAGTACTGTTAATGAACAAATAATAAAACAAATGAACCACAGGACACTGCTAGATTTTAGATTCACTGGTCATCAAAGCAAAAACATCCAAGATGCCAAAAAGAAAGCCAAGCAATCTTTTGCACTCCATCTCTGACCCACATATTACAAAAGAGGAATCTTCGGAGCTTGACTAATAAAGGACTTCAGTCTCCTCAAAGAGAATCTCAACAAGTCACCGTAATCCTTTCATCTGGAGTGTGGCAACACTGTCAGGATCAATATTATATAATATAAGAATGCCACTGTAGGGCTGTACTTCGGTTTGTTCATAAAACACTGATGAAGACAGAGTTACATAAATGTTCTTACTCGCTTGAAATACAAACCTGTTTTCTCTGTAGTGTATGAAAAAACCACCATGATGGCAGACTCTTTCAAGCTCAATAAAAATAAAGTGAAAAATGAAAGAAGCCAGAAGATAAAAAGAAAAAAAAAATACATTCTTGGGAATTCATGTGCCTTTTGTAAGGATGTCTGCATGAAACAGAACACTGCATTAATAATAGGGCTGTGCAATATATCGAAATTATCGAAATATCGCAAATGTACATATCACAATATGTATATCGCTACAGTTTGCAATATTTGGGGCCATGAACATAAGACAAAGAGAAAATCCCTCACTGCTCTTACCTAAATAACTTTTGTAGCTAAAATAAGAATCAGTGCATATTGAATTCAAAGAGTAAATACTAAGCAGTATTTTATTTTTCCTTTTTATTATTCAGTTCCTAAACTCATGTTAAAATGATTACACTAATGTTAAAATGACATTTTTATGTAATGCTCGAGTAAAACACTACCGTTCACT